TACGATATTTGTCCAAATTTGTATCTCTATCTTGGTCCCGATAAGTGGACAAGAATGAATACAAACGAGGAGATTTTACACAAAGCTACGTCAAACTCTTTGCGTATATTTTTCTTGTTAAAAACATGACCTTGCCCCTACTATCACCCATAGAAGTACGACCACCAAGAATGATACCCATGTTAAGGCTATCACGAACACAGTTCATAATTTTAAATTAAATATCTATTGATAGGATTGCATTAGCATTGACGAGTTTTTTTTTAATTTTTCAGGGTAATAGAAACAAGTCATTTGTTTAAATAGTTTGTTTAGCAATTTTATTCTGAAAATGGTTCTTCATAGGGAAAATTGTAATACAGGTCTACTAATGTGTGTTCAATCTGCCATTAATCTACCATGAGTTTGTCTTTAGTTTGTTATTAGTCTGTATTTAATCTATCTTTAGTTATATACTGAATTATTCTATCATCAATCTGCATTTAGTATGTGATTAATCTCATGAGAAAATAGCTAAAATAGTAACATTGATATTTATAAAATATTTTTTAGATGGGTATATTTCTACAATTTTCCTATACACGAGTCTATGTTTGACATGATTTTTCCATTGTAAATCATTTACTCATAAAAAAGTCATTTGATTGAATAGTGCGTTTGACAACGTGTACATTTCATAAAGAAAATTGTAAAAGAAATCCATTAGTTTATCATTAGTCTGCCATTGGTTTGGCATTAATCTACCATTAGTTTGTATTTAATCTATTTTTAATTTATATAATGATTTAATCTGTTATTAATCTACATTTAGTTTGTAATTAATTATTTAATTTACACTAGAGGAACATAAAGTAAAAATAGCACTAATATTTGTAAAATATTGTAAAAGGAAATATTTACAGCATTTTCCCTTAAATGTGTTTATGTTTGTAATTATTTTTTCATTGTGTATCATTTTGAGTCATTTCCTCTACAAAAATTCGCCAATCACATATTAATAGAACTAGTTCTATATTTCTATTTGATACGAATGTCTATTAGCATTCACCTGTTAAGTGAAGCATGTTATGACAATAAAAATCTTCAATTCTCTTTTTCAAATTATGCACTTTTCAAAAACAAGAAAAACATTTGTATGCTTATACGCTTACTAGCTATACTCTGTTTTGGAAACATTAACTAAATCTTGATTGTTCAATCGTCTACTCGAAGATCCACTAATTCAAAACTCAAAATTTCGAACCAAAGTAAAACCAAAATAATAAAATAAAAATCCACACTCGTCGCTGTAATATTACATACGATAACAAACATAAGTAAAATTGAAGTTTTACTAATAAATGACCAACAAAAAGAATCTTAACAAACATAAAGAAAATTAGAAAATTTCAGAGTCCTTAGTGATCGAGGGATTGTTGGCATAAGTTACCGTGGGTTAGGGGTAACTTCAGTGGTAAAGCTCATGCTCAGTTCAACAGAACTTTTTGAGCCCCCTTGTCTTGAGTTTTCTGATGTTAGACACTGCTTTAACTCACTAGTAACTTGAGACATGTTTGGTCTTTTCTCTGAAGAAGGATTTACGCATGACATTGCTATCTCAAGAGCCTTCCAAATAGAAGTAGGCTCATAATCCCTATTAAGTCTTGGATCCACAACATTTTCAAAATCTCCTTTGGTAAGCATGTGTCCCACCCATGCTGCTATGTGTGGCTTTTCTCGAGTTTGCTGAATTACAGGCCGACTTGTGATTATCTCCAATATTACAATTCCAAAGCTGTATACATCACTTTTTTCATTCAACCTATTTGTTCGATAATATCTGCAAGACAAGACATGAAGTTTTTATTCTCTTTATCAAATAAAGATTTAAAACACAACACTAAGCCAAATTTAAACGGTGATTTAACACTTACTCAGGATCAAGATATCCAGGAGTACCAACGATAGCTGTTGACACATGAGTTTCACCTCCAATTGGAAAAGATCTTGAAAGGCCAAAATCTGCTAGTTTCGCTTGAAAGTGCTCGTCCAAAAGTATATTTGTTGTTTTGACATCACGATGTATCATTGGAGGTTTGCAACCCGTATGCAAGTATTCCAATCCTATATATAATTAAATCGTTCATGTCATATAATCAATGTAAACTGATGAGGGATGTTGAATTTAGAACGAACCTTGAGCAGTCTCGATGACAATTTTTAATCTACTTGACCACTTTAAAGGAGAGCCACCACGTTCTCCTATTATTCAGAACATATGAGTGATATTGTAAATACGTAAAACACTAAAATGCATGCAAGTCCTATTTGTTAGAAAATGTGATATCTTCAAACTTATATACCTGAGAGATGTTGTTTTAAGTCACCGTTGGGTGCATACTCATAAAGTAGTGCCAAGTGGTTTTCTTCGTCACAATATCCAACTAGACTTACCAAATTTACGTGGTGAACTCTCAAAAGAAGTTCAACCTGACCAGTCATTCCAAAAATATAATTTAGAGCCTGTATATGTCATTTTAAGAAGATTTCTATGTTAATTACAACATTTACTTTATGTATATGACCTAACATACCTCTGCTTTGAATTCTTTATAGCCTTGTACTGATGATTGAGAGAGTAGTTTAACAGCTATTGGTTGTGTACCATTCAAAGAACCATGATATACTACTCCAAATCCTCCTTCTCCAAGAACTCTTTCAAAGTTATCTGTCAAAGCTACCACCTCGGAATATGTGAACCTTTTTGTTTGAGTAAATATGGATGGTCTACTTGGTAACTCATGTTGAACTGTAAATAAAGAATCATGTTTAAACAAACAAAAAAAATCATTGATTAGGCATCGTACAGTATACCATCATGCATGCATATATATTACACAATAATGTTATGGGAAAATACCTTGCGTTGGCCTTTTTTTCTTGAAAACAAGGATGAGAATCATTACAGCCACAAGGATGAGCACAGAAGCTGCCGATGCAACAACTGGTAAAACGTACTTTTGATTGTTATTTTTGCATGAGTCATCAGCACAAAGCTTTGAGTTTCCTTGAATCCTTAAGAAAATAAGTATTGTTGAATAAGATTAAAATTAGGCAAAAATCTGTGAGAGTTTATGGCAAAAAACATAAAGGTGAAATCTTACGTTAACTTTAGTCCATTCTTTTCTCTATCATGAAAGGCTTTAGGAAGAGGACCCGTAAGATCATTCCAGTTTAAATTTCTGTCCATGACAGAGAAACCATTATATTAACATCAACCAAACCTCCTACTTTACAATAAGTGGCCGTTATGTTTGTTTACATCAACTTACATGATCGATAATGACTTCATGCTGACTAGAAACTCGGGCACTCCTCCGGTAAAACTGTTATTTGATAAGTCCCTAGCGTTTGCAAAAATTTATAACGTGATTTCATCTTTCTTCGTTTATACGACAAATAATATTATGTTCTTTTCTCTACTTTTTTTTTTTAAATATCACAAATTGGATTCCGTTTACGCACCTACCATCTTCGTTTATTCACTGAATTTTATAATTGTATGCATGCACTTACAATTTTCGAAGCTCGGTCAAGTTTTGGAAGGCGGGCGTTATGACACCTCTTAACCCTCGTGATGATAAATCTCTGTTTACATAGTTAGATCGAATTTCAAGAATAAGATACTAGAGAGATTTTAGTTTTAAGATGAAATAATGTTTGTGAGATACTGATCTTACATGGAAACAATTCTTGGAGGAGTAGACTTATTTGTGTAGCTGCACTTTAGATCTTCCCATTTCAAAAGCTCGGGTACGCAAGGGTCTCCTTGCCAACTAATTATTTTTAATCCATAAATAGCTTGGATATTCTTTATAGCAGCGACTGACAAAAAGTTTAATGAGAAACCAAAAAATAATTAGCAAAAAAAAAAAAATTAGGGTTTTCCTAAATTATGTTAAGGAGAAATAGTGACGACATACCATCGTTTGGATTTGTTTCAGCATATGGAAACTCCATAACCTTGAAAGCCTCAATAGCATTAATAAATGGTGGAAGAGTTGACCTCGAAGTTCTAACGAGGTCTAAGTAGCACAAGCCGAAGCCACATTTTTGTGGTGATAGGTTGTATTTGGTATCTGATTGTAACGGCGTAGGACTATATGCTGACTGAATGATATTATCTTCTATTTCAATGTCAAATTCTCTAGTATCATTGACTCTTAAGGTTTGGATCTCGGCAAAGTGGAAATACACATTAACTTTGTCACTATCGTCATCTGTTGACAATAAAAATCTCAATGGCTTGCTAGCATTTTCGGGAGTAATGCCTGACCTACTTACAGCTTCTGGTACTTGAAAGGGGCTAAAAGATCTCACACTGATGGTGGTGTTTACTTCTGTTTCAAAATCGTTGTAGTTGTCCCATATGCGATCAAAGACATCATCAGGATACCTGTAACAATATTTGGATTAGCCATGCAAAAGTAAATGAATCATGTTAGTGTGTTACATCCTGTGTTATTGGGTTTGTTGATTTTGAAAGATGTTAAAAACGAATTAGTGAAAAAGATCGTGAAAAAGGGAAAAAACTGATAAAAAACAAAATATTTTCTATTCATAATGATCAAATTTTCTATTCAAAAAAATTTTAGAGATAATTTTTAAAATGACCTATTTAACAATTTTATTACGAAAACGAATTTCTACCCTTGTTAAAATGACCTATAAGGAGAGTCCATATAAGGAGAGTCTACTAATGTGTTTTCAATCTGCCATTATTCTGCTAATAATTTGCATCTATCTGTTATTAATCTACATTCACATAAAACTTACAAACTCTCACTATTCCTAGAATTCTCAAATGCTTTTTTTTTAATGATGAAACACATTCAAATAGAGCCTAGAAAAAAAGAAGATAATTTTCATGAAGAAACTTAAAGCACATATATAAAATTACATGTTAAAAAAATTTGATGCACCAGCCACTAAGTAAAGCATATCATGAAAGAAAACTTTTGTTATTTGTTTTGGTAAATAGAATTGCTAAAGCTGACTGAGTTCACATACCGTATATAACCGCTAGAATTGCTAGTGTAGTGCCGCCTGTAAATGAGGTTCAAGGGACCCAAACGCGTATTATAAGAATCATTTCTTAATGGCCTTACTTCCAAAGTTGATATCATTGGTATAGTTTCTCCTGTCTTGACAAGACAAATCTGCAATAAATTTGATTTTGACATATAAATGATCTCTCGATCATTACCGAATTCCAAATTCACCGTGATCCACATGTTAGGCCCCACATGTAAATCAAATTTGGGATATACATTAAGACCATCATAATTTCCATATCCGAACCCAGCTCTTATTAGATAGTTGATGCCTTGGTCTACTTTCAGATCATAGCAATTTCGTATTCCATCAGGAAAATATCTCAGATCCTTGTACTGTCTGTAGGTATAGGTTCTGTCATCCCCAGCTTCACCGCGTAAACCACTTAAGATGAAATCAGCATCAGATGAAAATATTAATCCGGTCTTTGGGTCGGTATAAGGAGACTGATTAGGAGGTAAACCACAATCTAAACTGATGAATCCTGGCAAGACACAAAATGTTTTAGTGCAAATAATGTTTTCCTTCTTGCTAGAACATGAAACTTACACGGAAGAAAATCTAAAGTGTTAAAAAGAGAGAATTTTCAATTACTTAAAGTTTGAAACCAAATTCGCGTAATGTAATTTGTTTGTTCTATACATGCATTTAAGTCTAACGAGTAGAAATTGGTCGATGAAGCAATTAAAAATACTGAAACCAATGATGTATAAAATTACCTTTTTGATCAGGCTGAGCTTGAACAAAATGTATAATGGTGAAAGCTCCAAAGCTCAGCGCTAGTAAAAGTTGGCGATAACACTCCATTTTCAAGTGAACATACCAAATTTCGATAGGAAAGACTATATGAAAGTTATGATAGAATATATTGATTTTCTAGTGCAATATAAATAATTTAGATTGGAAAAACATTAAATCTTATAACACATATCTGCATGTTGGCTTGGGAAATTCTCCAATAATTTTATTTTTGAAAAACATATTCTCCAATAATATTGTTTCATGTTACTCGTTCCAGCACGTCTCAAATGGTCTAACAAAAACATATACATTTATATTACAATTCGTGGAAAAATGTGGACATTATACCTAAGCACCTGATGTTATCTTTGCTTAAACAATGTAAAAACTGTGCCTAGTTGCAATGTCAAAGCTCCATAACTATATGATAATTCTGCCAACGACTTCAACGACTTGTATTTAACAACAACTAGACAGTTTTATAAGTTTTATTGACTTTCACCTTAATCATTGTTATATATATCCCCACAAAAATGAAAAATTCTTGGTCTTCACAAATAAACTAAGATCAGTCATCCCCTAATATTCGTTTCATATGCCTATAATTCATCATCTATATATTACTTATATACCTTGAGAGATAATTGGCAGCTAAGGTCAAATGTAACGATTTTATATAATAAATCGTGCGCCGTACATAACACGCATTTTTACATTCATTTAGGTAATACTTCGCATTGGCATTTTACATGTTTATGGAGTTTGACACTCGGAAATTTGTGTATGTAACTATATGAAAAAGTTGTGTGATAGTATTTTGTGGTTTATAATCTGTTTCTCTATATTTAACGTGTGGCCGGTATACAGTCATTGCACGTATATTCGTATAGATACGTGACTTTTGTAAGAAGCAAATCATTAAATCAAATTTACGTAGTTCATCTTTCAGTTTGTTCTTTCTTGGGCAGCAAGCTATTGGTTTCAAATTGTAAAATTTTCGTTTCGTTATTTTTCTTATAACCAATTGGAAGATCAAAAATGCAAATAAAAGCTGATCCAATATGTTCTTATGAATTCCTTAGCAATTGCAAGATTGATGTGTAGGTTTGGTAGAGTCAGGTAATAAAAGTAACTAATGGTTAATTAGTTTATCCAGATATGTCTTACGTACTATTATGTGAACCACGAGAGTAGTGTTTGTATCAACAAATACAACTATACATATATCTATATGCAGCAAGTGTAAACCTTATGTTTTCTGCATTCGTTTACTTCGTGCATAATCGAAGATTAATATTATTGTTGGTCAAGGTTTAAAGCAGAGACCAAGAGTTTTTTTGTTTTTGTTTTTTTTCCAAGAGTTCAGTCAACTGGATATAAGGATATTGACACAACTCATACAAGATCTCGCAAGCCTATTTTAATAAAACAAATACCAGTTAGCTTGGAATATATCAATGGAATTTACGCAATTATTCATTCTTTAATTTTTTTGCACGAGTTGACTTTTTTTTTGTTTTGTTTTGCTTTTTTGCTTTTGCATCATTCCTTACAATGTATATGTGAGACATTTCTAATTTACGTAGCTTTCTATTTTATCCGGAAGCAAGTCTTTGTTGCTATGTTCTTGATTTCCATTAAAACATTCGAACAAGATGAAGAGTCACTTTTTGTTGGCCATGATTGTAGTATTAGCCATTATGGTTGAAGCTCAGAAACAAGAAGGTATTATATCATCTCTTTAATGTGTATACAATTCTTCAAATAAAGTGTTTATATAAGCTATACTTTTTTTTTTCATTTTCTACATTCATATCCCTTTTTTGTTTGGACAGGATTCATCAGTTTAGATTGCGGATTCCCTATTGAGGAATCTCCTTATAGTGATCCCTCAAATGGATTAACATACACATCAGATTCCGCTTTCATCCAAACCGGGAAGAGTGGTAGAGTCGATAAAGATCTCAACAAAAGATTTTCAAAACCATATTTGACGCTGAGATACTTTCCAGAAGGAAAACGCAACTGTTATAGTTTGAATATCAAGCGTGGCACAAACTATCTCATCTCGGTTAGCTTTTTATATGGAAACTATGATGGTCTTAATGCTTTTCCAAACTTCGATCTCTATTTTGGTCCCAACAAGTGGGCAAGAATAGATATGGAAGGAAGACAAAATGGTACAAATGAGGAGATCATACACAAAGCTAAGTCAAACTCTTTGGATATTTGTCTTGTTAGAACAGGAGCAACATTCCCAGTAATTTCAGCAATTGAAATACGGCCACTTAGAAACAATACTTATGTTACACAATCCGGTTCACTCCGGCTATCTTTCCGGGACTACTGTAGCAATTCCGCAGGGCATATAAGGTAAGTGAAAGTTCTCTGTAACGAATCATAATATGGTAGTAGGAAACTAAACAGAAAACGTTTGGCAAAATGACCTTATAAATCAAAAGTTTGCAGATTAATCATTTCATCTTTTTTTTTTATCTTTAACAAACTTAAAAATTACGAAAATACCATGACAAAATTATAACCCTCTGCTAAAATATTTAGGAGTATTATTGTAAAAACCATGCCGAAAAAATTAATTTGCATTTTTTTTTTTATATATAGAGTTATTTTGCCAAATAAGGTTTAGATTTACAATTGTCCTAAATACAATTGTAATTTGTAACAATCATATATTACCTCCCAAAAATTAATTATAACAACTTCATTTTTTTTTGGATTTGATATTTTTCAAAATATTTTTGTACCAGTAACTTTTTAAAAATGAAAACCTAAAGAAAAAAAAAACTATTCATCAAAAAGCATGTGTTGTTCAGAAAAAATCACACGCATATAATTTATATAGTCATAAGTTCAATAGTTATTACCATTGGTTTATAAGTCATAAATCATAGGTCTAGAATTTATAATTTTATAAGAGAATCAGCCATTTTTTCCAATAAATCAGTAAAGAGACTGATTATCACTGATATGCTTAATTACTTTGCCTAATACAATCTAGTTTTCAGGTATGCCGATGATGCCTACGATCGTGTTTGGACTCCATTTTTTGACTCTTCATATACACAAATAACAACTAGTCTCAATATAAACAATACCGATTTTTATGAGGTACCAATGGCAGCACTCAAAAATGCTGCCACGCCTAGAAACACCAGTGAACCACTATACATCACATGGAAACCTAGACCCCCTAATGTTGAAGTGTATTTGTACATGCACTTCGCCGAGATACAAACCCTTCAAGCCAACGAGACGAGGGAATTCGACGTTGTTTTGAAAGGAAACTTTAATTATTCAGCTTTGCGTCCTCCCAAGTTAGAGTTATTTACATTATACACTGACGTACCAGTGCAATGTGACTCGGGAGGTTGCAATCTACAGCTAGTAAGAACTCCAAACTCAACCCTTCCTCCTCTGATCAACGCTTTCGAGGCTTACACTGTTATCGAGTTCCCACAGTTGGAAACAAACCTAAGTGATGGTAACTCACAGTCACACAAAACTGCATTTATTTCGAGACATAACTGTTTATTAATTTTTCCATATGTTATTATATATAGAACAATTTTTGAAATGATTTATTTGGTAATTTTATTACGAAACATGACTCTTTCGAAAATGATATATAAAAGGAGTCTACTAGTGTGTTTTCAGTCTGCCGTTAATCTGTCAGTAGTCTATATTTAATCTGTTAGTATGTCAATAGTTTATGTTCAATGATATGGCCAGTCAGCCTGCCAATAATCTGCCATTAATCTATAAATAAAAGTAGTCGGAAAGATAGTGCTGATATTTATAAAAATCATAAAAATAGTCATTTTACAATTTTTCTTCAATAAAATATTTATTTCATATTATTTTACTTTATTATAGATTATTTTGGAATACTTTCTCATTATACATTTCATTTTTTTCTAACGTTTATGTTAGTTGCTGCTATCAAGAACATCAAAGCTACTTACGGGTTGAGTAAAATCACTTGGCAAGGAGATCCATGTCTCCCACAAGAGTTGTCATGGGAAAATCTTAAATGCACTTACGTAGATACTTCCACTCCACCAAGAATCATTTCATTGTAAGGCTATTTCGTAAACTTAGTTAATTTTAAACTTATGTATGTATGATTTTTTAAGTTTTTTTTTTGTGATTGTATAATTAGAAATTTGTCAGCAAGTGGATTAACAGGTACCATAGCCCCAGTTTTACAGAATTTAACGCAACTACAAGAACTGTAAGTATTTTTATTATTGACTCATTAAAACCAAAACGATTATTTTTTGGACACAACATGCAAGTTTACATTTTGTATTTCTGCATGCGCGCGCAGGGACTTATCTAATAACAGCTTGACTGGACCTGTGCCTGCTTTTCTTGCCAACATAAAATCATTGTCTTTGATGTAAGTTTTCTAGAAAGCAGAATGAACATTCTGAACTGTGATTAATTTTCCTTGGACATGACTCTATATGTATGATGTTTTTTTCTTTTTTTGGTTCTCTTTAATAGAAACTTAAGTGGGAACAATCTAAGCGGTTCAGTTCCTCAGATTCTTCTTGACAGAGAAAAACAAGGACTTGTATTATTACAGTAAGACCTTTTATATTACATCATATGACATTTATTAATTAAACATTAATTATGCATTTTTACAAATATGCATGTTCCTTCTAAATCTATATGGTGCATTAATTTCTACTCGGCAACTAAATTATGCATACATAAGTTTACTCGGCAACTAATTTAACAACTTCTGTATCACATGTTCCTTGTAGACTTGATGGAAATCCAGAGCTATGCAGATTTAGTTCATGCAATCCAAAAGAGAAAAAGGGATTCTTGGTACCGGTTATTGCCTCAGTTGCGTCCGTGCTTGTTGTACTGGTGGTTGTGGCTCTCTTTTTTGTTTTCAGAAAAAAGAAAGTGCCTTCAAGTGAGTCTCGACACTTATAACCATTGCAGAAAATTTATATAATCAATGAATACATTTTCAAAATCAAACATATTTCCTGTGTAAATCTAGACGCTCCACCAAATGTGCCCATAGAAGATGGTGGACACACTAAACAACCAGAACCATCATTTCTATCCAAAAAGATAAGGTTTACATATTTCGAGGTCCAAGAAATGACAAATAGCTTTCAGAGAGTTTTGGGTGAAGGAGGGTTTGGAATAGTTTATCACGGTTGTGTCAATGGTACACAACAAGTAGCTGTTAAACTGCTCTCTCAATCATCATCTCAAGGCTATAAACATTTCAAGGCAGAGGTAACAATTTTTACAATGATCATCTACGGATAACCAATTAATATGTGTAAATGTATATTTTTTTTACCTTCAAGATAGTACTAGCTGATGGATGGTTGGTTAGGTGATATTGCTTATGAGAGTGCACCATATAAATTTGGTGAGTCTTGTTGGCTATTGTGATGAAGGAGACCACTTGGCTCTTATTTATGAGTATATGCCAAATGGAGACCTGAAGCAACATTTGTCAGGTAACAGAACATAGTTACTGATTTTTGTAAAAATTAAACTGTGATATCTAACCTTTTATTTTGAAACAAAAATCACATTTTGAGCGATATGAAATATGTTTACGATTGAAACAGGAAAGCGTGGTGGATTCGTCCTGAGCTGGGAAAGTAGACTAAGAATAGCTGTGGATGCAGCACTAGGTACACATTAATGCATTCATTTCACTTTTAAAAAATTATTTAGTTAATTAGTTTTGCCTCCAGTGAAGCAGCAAGGAATCTTATGCAACCGAGTTTGTTGTGAATTAGAGTGATTTCACTCAAATCGAATATTCGCATGAATTTGGACTTAGAAACCGATAATATTGGAATTAGGTAAATTGGAATATTTCATTTTTTTAGTTGTAGCCACCTATGGCATTCCTCATGCTCATTAAGACTACGAGTCACTTGGAACATAAAAATTATTCCTAAGACGCTCTATGATGAAATGCTTCATTCAATGATTCATCTGCCAAAACATTATTTACATAAAAATGTATTTTTTGTAGGATTGGAGTATTTACATACTGGATGCAAACCACCAATAGTTCACAGAGACATAAAAAGTACAAACATACTTGTGGATGAACATTTCAAGGCAAAACTAGCTGATTTCGGTCTTTCCAGATCTTTTCCCATCGGAAATGAAACATATGTATCAACTGTTGTCGCTGGAACTCCTGGGTATCTTGATCCTGAGTGAGTATTTACTCCATACTATATGTTTGTCTATAAACACAATCGCTCCTTTTGATAGTTAAAAATCATAAACCATATTTCATGTCTTGTTTTGTAGGTATTATCAAACAAATTGGCTGACAGAGAAAAGTGATATCTATAGTTTTGGAATTGTACTATTGGAGATCATCACAAACCGTCCTATAATAGACCAATCCCGTGAAAAGCCTCACATAGTAGAATGGGTTGAGTTTATTGTAAGAACGGGAGATATTGGAAATATTATAGATCCAAACCTCCATCGAGATTACGACATTGGTTCTGTCTGGAAGGCTATTGAATTAGCAATGTCATGTGTGAATCTTTCTTCTGCAAGAAGACCAACCATGTCCCAAGTTGTTAGTGATCTAAAAGACTGTCTGATATCTGAAAACTCAAGGACAGGAGAGAGTCGAGAAATAAACTCAACGAGTTCTATTGAATACAACATGGATATTGGTACCGATGTGATCCCTAAAGCACGCTAGGTTGTCAAAATATGTATACATTCTTGTTGTACATTGATTAATCTTCAGTTATGTATCTCTAGGTTTACGACCAATTAATAAGCGGCTTTAATGTGATATTGAAATGAATTTGTTGTAGTTTGATGTAAAACTTTTGTAGAGTTAAAAAAATTATGGTAATACACTGTATATTATTTGCAGAAAGCAGCGGGTAGAGATTTTGCATGAGCATCTTTACTATTTCTAAAACAAATTAGGTGCGCAAATATTAATTTAAAAAAATGAAATTCAGAGCTCTTTGTGAATTTATAAACTTTTTGTGATTTTTAATGCCAATTCATATACTTTATAGCAAAAGTAATAAAAAAAATTTAACGATAATAATATTTGATTGATAAGTCTGCAATGCAAATAGGTTATATTTTTCATATGTATAATATACGTTTTAAGGACCGGGTCCAAACCAAAGAATAAGCCATGTGTTGAACCAGAAAATCACCAATAGGGTTTGATTAACAGTTGTGGGTTCCGGAGAATAAGATCTTTTTATTAATAGTAAGAAAGCGTAGCGATTACAAAGAAAGGTATAACCGAGAGGTTATGCCGAAGTGAAAAGAAAGTTTGCCAAGTAAACCAGAAAGCGTTGAAGTCTCTGA